CACATAATACCTATGTAATGTATCTTCTAATGACTTCCACAAGCTTTGTAAGCTCCAGGGTATACAAGCATTTAGGTTGCATGCTAAGTGACTTCTCCTAAGTTTTTAATCCACCAAAACTTTTCCAGATCGATTGTCATGCTCATTGTTGTTTTCTTACTCAAGATTCCGATCTCCTTTTATAGCAAAGTTTGACAAAAGTAATCCTGTAATTATATATATATATATATATATATATAATTGATCCTAAGCACTTACCCCTTCCGTTGCTCAAGCCTCGGTGCTACCAGCGTCAAAGATATATACAAAAAGTAAGGAAGGTGCACTCACAGGTCTTATTCACAGTGTTGATTTATTCAAATGTTATTCAAAGTGGTGTCCCAATCGACGTTTCGACCCCTCAAGGTCTTTCTCAAAAAAACAAAAAGACAGATTGGTGGCAAATTAATATGAGGAATTATATATTAAAGACATATCAGCATATTAATACCATATGCTAAAAGCCTAATATTGTATACTCGATATATGCATAGGGCCACACAATATAGGAGAAGATGGATAACACAAAATACATTAAATATAATGATCAAAAGATAACTATAGCTCCATGCATAAGCAGAAATCCCTATATCACACTCAAGCATATGAATGCTATATACCCTAATAAAAATAGGACTTATATGAATATAAAACTGGATAGACAGAAACGCTGGCTGGAAAGACAAATGAGTTGGACAACAAGCAGGTCAAAAAATATATATAATTCATTAAGAAAGCGAGACAAAACTGAAAAGAATCTCAAAGAAAATCTCAAAAAAAAATCTCAAAAAGAAGAAACAATGGACAAATATAATAACCCACATGTCAAGAACTATTATCCAGCAATAATCACTAAAAAACAAACTATAAAACAAGATATATTTACAAAATCATAGAGTACACAATATTTTCATTTAAGCCTTTAGGGGCTACAGTGTACAAGTAATGGATCCAGTAAGCGAACTGTGACCTCTGATCCTATCACGCAAAGTAAGGTCTGTCTTCCCGACATGTGACAACCCACAATGTAGATGAGATGGTCTGTGGTACATGTGATGTAATGTGTGATTGGTATACGTTTTCCAGTGTGGGGATGAGCAAACGAACTGCTTGACAACATATGGCTACAGGCCACACATCCGGTACACTTAAAGCATCCCTTCTTTTTAATCCATGCTCTCTTTCTCACTCAGTCACCACACACAAGATTCACGGCTTGATCATTTTATTTTTTCATGTGGCACACTCTTTCACATTCACTGGCTTTCAGTCTACTCTTTTTTTCTAATTTTACTCGGGCATTATTTGCCTATGATTATTCTCCTTTATACGATATAGATAGTCTTCCTCCAGAGTGGTCTTCTAACACCTGAGAGTTACTTTGTTCACGGTTTTGTATACTGTCACCATGGTAACCACATAACCCCGCCGTGCGTCTAGATTACGTGACGTTACCGGCGGCTTCCATTCACTTCCGGGTGGTAACGGGCAGAGACACTTCACTTTACTGATTAGTAAGTGTTATTTATTATATTTTATATATAACCACATTTATTACTTGTATTCAATGATCTTGAAAAAGACCCGGCAGGGTCGAAACATCGGTCGATCTTTGTATACATCTCATGTATTAATAAAGCACTATTTTTCATCTATATAAAGACCTGTGAGTGCATCCCGTTTTTTTGATTTCTCTATATATATATTCAAAATATACATTCAAAATACTCAATCCAGTGCGCTCGCTCATTCACTAAACAGCGATTTCAAGCCTCACAGATTGTAGTATTTTTATTTAAAAACAACTCACCTAGGCAAAAAACAATGGGGTTTAGTTACAGTATATGATCAGACATTGCATAAGCCTGCCACATCGTCAATGTACCCCATTCTTAGAAGATCCTACTCTAGCAACCTAATGCCTGCCCTTATAAGATTAATCCACTTAATTCTTCGTCCTGGGACTCTCTGCAGGTCAAGGCCCTTGCATGAGGCACCTGTGACATGGAGGGGTGCCAAACCAAGGAGTTGACCTGGACTCCCAAATATATAATTAAATGAAACCAAAGATGGCTAGGGCTGTACTCACCTGAACATGCATATATTATATCACCGTTTAGTGAATGAGCGAGTGCGCTGGATTTTGTATTTTGTATAAATTGGCCCCTATAATATATGCATTTTCAGGTGAGTGTATGTACGTGTGTGTGCATGTGTTTGTATATGTAAAAATCATCAACACTCTTAAGCACTCATATGTGCTGAAATCCTATCTTGTCTCTTTCACCCTCCCTGGCAGTCAGAATGCATCCCTGAAGATTAGTACCATACTGATTTCTTTATGAATGGATGAAGGATGGATGGCATTTATAGTCTCTTTGCTTGAAACAGGGGGATTGTATGGAGTCCTAATGTATAAATTATTATTTCTTCCAGGTGAAGGCATGCAGTCGAGAAGAAGGGAAGGTCAATGTGGATTTTTTAGGAGCACTTTGGTGCTAGAAGTAACCCAGTTTCTAATGTATTGTATAGCCACAGTTATCCAATATACAGTCACAACTTGGGATATCAATAAGAACAAGAGAGGGGATGCCACATTGCACCTTGGACATGCAAGCTTGGATGACAAAGGTAGTTATGGTACTCAGAGTGACCATTGTCTTTGACATTACTTGTCAGTGCAGAAGGAAATCGTCACGTGTACAGTACACATTATTCTGATAAAAAGGGTTATTAAAATCGGTGTTTTCCAACATAGCTTAATGATGCTATTTAATTCACAATGTAATTGTGTTTCATGTCTTCCTTTTTTCTAACAGAAGAATATTTATTAAGCATCCTACTTCTGCATTTCATAAAAATCACACATGGCTTCCAAGAGAGAAAAATAGAAAAGCGTGTTACAGTTAAAGTGTGATATTTTAATAATTATGACTATCCATGTATGGGGCAAGTAAGGGCAGTTTGTCCAACCTAGAACATTTGCACAGCTTCAGATTTAAGGAACGTGTTAGGAAGCGGGTGTAACCTGTCTTAACCATTATGCAAATACAGTAGGAAGCAAATGCATATTGTGGTAAAACCAGAGATCTGTAAAACCACTTTAAAGAGACAGTAATTCTTCAACATACTTTCACCTTCAATGACAGATCCTATATATATATGTTCTAATTCTAAAGCTTAGGAATAAACAGTTGTAGAGTAGTGATAGAAATATAATCGATATGTAATAAGTACACAAGCATTAGCTTATGATTCTGGATCTAAGCTAGTATTACTAAAATTAAAGTGACATATCTAACAACACAAGGATACAAGTAATGTCACAAACAGCGTGTTAATGCCTCATTTTGAATTAAAGAAAGCAAAGCTGTGAAAAAACGCAGTGCAATAGGTGGATAACTAAGGGAATACAGGAGTAGAGTACTAGACCGAAGCACTGGTTGCAGAATTAATATTAGGGATGACTGCCAGTGCCAAAATACATACTAGGTAAGTATGGAAGGAAAAATTACCATTAAACATGAAACATTATGCATACTTTGGTTATAACTCCATCAGTTATACTTTGGTTATAACTCCATCCATGTTGCATAATTTCATTTGGATCCTAAAATACCTTATGCTAGTATACAGTGTTGTGGTTATTCAGTATTGGCAGCTCCATTCCATCCTACCGTTTTTTAATTAAGTGTGGCATTCCATTTTAGACTTAGATTGGAAAAGAACAGATTGTTATGACATCATATACTGTTATTGTTCCTTAAGGGGCTACATTTAGTTAGCCAATTAATCAAATTCTCTGTACCAGCAGCAACAACTAGGCATCTACCTTTGGCCATACCTGCCCTATATAAATAGCTATATTTCTTTGTTTTATTTAATTTCCTTGATGTATTTTTTTTTAGTAGACTTATTTACATTGTGAAATTAGCATATAGAAATATATATAAAAATATGATACTCTATCTAAAATAAATATTACTCTAATAACTGTCTTTATGAAAATTTAGAAAGAACCAATAGAGAAAATAATAAAACACCCTCCCTTGAAAGAAATAAAAAATAAAAAATAAAGAAAAAATTACCTTCAAGCCAAGTTTTCCATGCAGCCTGATCCTTCTCCACTTACTACGTTTTGGGTGCCAATTAAAGGATCTTAACATATAACAAGGTGTGCTGGATATTTTCCGGTTGTTTGTACCTGAATTCGATGGATCATGGAGTTGTGGTCTTTTTTCCATCCTTGGATAAAACATATTCATTTAACTAGGTGGGAGTTTTTCCCTTTTTTTTTGTTGGCGTGAACCTTTCCCAGGGATGTAACTCCCCACTCGGAAGGAGTGGTTGAGATGAAGACTTGGGCAGCATGGGGATAGTGGCTGTGCCGTCATTGATTGCCGTCTGTGGCAAGCGTGCTATGTGTCTTGATGACATGCATCAAATATGCACAGAATTAACATTAGGCAGCCTGGAACTCTCATTCTAGAAAAGTTAATAAAGCTGCTGGAGGTTGCATTGAATATGCAGACTCCAAGTACCATGACTTTTTAAATCTGCGTACTTTCATAATCTGGATACTTCTTCTGAAGTGGCTTCAGCACAAAATGCAAGGGAAGGAGCTGAAAACTGCCAAGGATATATCAGAAGCATGACAATTACACACACAATATTTTAATATTATGCACTATGCTTACTTTTCATAGTAAAAGAAATGCATTTTCATTTTCATTACATTTTATTGAAAGATAGAATACAAGAGAAAAGATCATCTGCAAAAAAAAAGCCAGTTATTCTGACAATAATCGGATGTAACTAAAACTAAACAAAACATTAGATAGCATGGCTCTGTTTTATTTTATGTCAGATGCTACTTCCTTTCTGAAAAGAAGAAGTAACTAAAGATGAATTGAAGACTAGTGAAACATCAGCTATAAATCCTGTTAATTACAACAGCACAACAGTGATGAAAGCTTTAACATTTAAGAGCAGCTGGTTACAGGAAATCGCCCAGTTTAATGAAAATGCTGGATGGATTGCAGACCATCTCATCTGTGAGCTGTGATTAATCTGCCATAATATATCTCAATATATTTACAATACAGTTTGGGCATATTGAGAGAATTATAGAATTGCCAAGTCAAGAGTATGGTTATTGGCAGGAAACGGATAACATATATATATTTTTCATATGGATTTCAGAGGGATTAAAAAATGAAATCTTTGGAAATAGCAATGAAATGGATGGACCAATGGATTCAAAGATGAAATTTAGAAATTATTCCCCACACACCATAAAGCAGAAAAGAGGTCATCATTACTATTATCAAAAGGGAGTTTCGTTCTATGGTATTCTTTTGTTTATTGTCCTTCTGTTGTCTGGTCTTACAGCTCTTTCAATATATACTGTAATTGGACTGAAAACAGAATTTGCTAATCTGCAGGCAGAGTTGAGGTCATACAGAAATCGTGTGATTAAAACCCAAGAAGATAGTGCTGGCTTTCATACTACATTGCAGGAAACTCAACAGGTAAGTTTGCACTGTTGGCATAGTAACGTGAGGTTATGTACAAACAGTATATCTGGGGCAACATTTTAAAAGTGGAGTGCTCACCATGGAAACAATGGAATGTTCCTGCCGATTGCTCCATTTTTAGAATGTCATCACATAATTATTATATATACAACCCCTATTGTTTTCTTTTCCACTTATTGTTTCTTTCTGAGCTCTTAGTATGTATGGACATAATTATTGAATATAGTTAAAAAAAAAAAAAAAATTGATATTAAATTGTATTTACATTTCCATTAACCATGAAAACACAATGATCTATATGCTATATTTAAATAGTTATGTCATGGTATTTTCTATGGTATTTAATTTCTATGGTACAAAATTAAAGCAAACCTGGCTTCCACCAATAGTGTGAATGATGTTTTCTTCAGGTAGGTAGAATTAATTTGTACATTGTGCCAGTGAAATTGTCAGCAAATGTGTAGATAAAGCAATGTACTTATTTGAAGATTCCTTTTCCAACATCATGGCATACTGCTATGGAGGTTGTGGAATTTTACTGTTTCAGGAGGGATACATGTGCCATAGCTGTAAAAACGACAGTGACTAGCATGTTTGCTTGCACAATCTGTACCTTTACTTTAATACTCTATAATGCTGCACTTTAAGAAACTATCCACTGTGGAATTGTATTTGTAACAGTAACTATCCACTTTCATTGTCTACTGCTCAACACTATGAGGTTTATTCACTAATATTAAACTCAAAATTGTAACAAATTGAACACCAAACAGCAACTTTTAGGCTAAAATAGCTGTTTTGTAGTTTTTCTTTTAATTCCCTAATGCTGCCATAGTAACAATTTTAGTCTTAGATTTTAATTCAAAAAATTGTTGTTAAATGAATAAACCCCTATGCAGAGGCATAACCAGAAACCATGGGGTCCCGGTGCAAAAAGTGCCTTGGGGTCCTCCCATATATCTGCCCCTCACCCCATACGCCCCCGCCCCCCATAGATCTACCCCCACCTCATACGTCCCCGGCCCCCACACATGCAGATAAACAGATACACATACACACAAACACACAGAGACATACAAACACAGACACACACAAACACACACACACACACAGACATGTAGACACACACACATACATACATACACACACACATGCACACATACATACATACATACATACAAACAAACACACACATAAATAGATAGACACACATACACACACAGACACACACACACAGATATAATGATACAGACATTCTCAATAACACACATACAAACTGTTAAAAAAAATTTAGTGACTTACCTGGGGTCCAGTGTCTGCCTCATGCTCATGGGAGTCAGAGCTCCCACTCTTACTCCCTTCTCTCCTCCTGCACGGCACTCTGTTTCCTGGGAGGAAGTGACAGCTGCGACCCCTGCCACCGCGGTAGTTCCGTCAGTGCCCCTATGCATATATGTGTAATGTAACACAAAGAAATACAGGAAAAAGGCTGCGCCAATAGTTAAACGGTACAATAGTTCGTCTGAATAGGTAGGGCAATATAACGTAGTTGGTCTCACTGATATGGTGGGACTAAAGTTCTGATGGAGTAACTGAAGGTAAAGTCCGATAATGTTGAGGTCTCACTCAGAAGTAAGTATCTTTATAAGGTGCCTGTTTTTGGGTGTAGAGTCCTCAATGTCCCTAGTGGTCCAACTGTCCCGCTTATATGTAAGACAAAAGCGAGGAGACCCAATGGTGCAGTATATAAAAGCCAATATGGGTAAAATAAACAAATATTTGCCATCAACTCACATTTAAAAGAGCTATAGCCAGCTCTGATGTGAGCTAGCTATCACAAGGATATGTGATGGGAGTCCTCCAGAGGGATGGTATCCGACACTCAGGAGAGGGATATATAAAAGACAGCCAATAGTGCTCTCTGTAGAATAAAATATGCAGTAAACATAAATAAAAATGTACTCACAAGTGAAGTGCAGGCAAACTGCACTGTGATGTCAGCGTTGGTGGTATGAACCCCACCTCGGATATACTTGGAGTCACACGAAGATAAAAGGAAGCCAGGTTAAAAATTCCAGATAAAAAAAGTGCATTAAAAAGATGATTGGCACAAAATTGTAACCAAAAAGCCTTTTATTTAAAAAAATACACTATCAAAATAACCATGATGCGTTTCACCACTAGGGCTTTATCAAGGGTTAGAGGTGCAAGGTAGAGGTGCAATATATGTGCAATGATATGTCAGAATACACAAATAAAAGGTTGTGAGGAGAGCTTGAGTAAGGACAGTGTCTACTAAGTAAAACTGGGAACTGCATGCAAATTAACACTAGAAACACAGAAAGTGATACTAAACTTCCAGACATTGCTTACTAATTCACTTACTGATACTAATTGAGTAACCACAGAGAAGAAAGTTGTCTGCTAACCATTGTTAATATTCCACTTAGTTATTTCCTTATATATCTTCATCTTTTAAAGGAACAACATACATTTATTTCTAATACTAGAGTATAACTTTCTTAATTTTAGATGTAGGACTCCCCACTGTGTCCTAAAAAAATAGTTTGTCACCTCCAGTGGAGAGACCATCTTCTCATTGAGCTCTGCTCTGCCCCTGGGAAATTATCACTTGTGAAGCAGTGGAACACAGGGCACATACACGTTGTTCCAGTCCTGAAGAAACATTGAAACCAGTGCTTCGCTGTAAGAGGCCCTGACTGAACAAGTGTTCAAAGCGAGTAAGGAAAGAAACCTTACTGGCTCTATGGTTGGCAGCCAGGTGTTACCAAGGAATTAATAAAGTGCATATTTCTCTTGAATTCAGTGCTTCTGTAAAATATGACAAGGGGGCATGGATGCATTGTTAACACCTCATAGTTAGCACCCAGACCACTTCAATGGGCTGAAGTGGTCTGGGTGCCTACAGTGTCCCTTTAAGTAGTCTAGGTTTGGAGTGCTCCTTTAAATACACTGGTAAACTATTATACGGAATTAAACTTTTGCACCAAAATTCAATATATACATTTGTTTAACAAACTTTCAAATAAGTTCAAATTTAAAAAAATAAAAGTGTCAACAGTGAAAATTTTCATTTTTAAATTAGATAAAGGCAAAAAAATGCTCCAAAAACACTATGAAATCAAAGAAAAAGTTACCTGCGCTCTCTCCTAAATCCCTATGTATATTTAAAGAAATGAGGTCATATGTTTAAATATACATAGGGATTTAGGAGAGAGCGCAGGTAACATTTTTTAATTGGTTTTTACTGTATGTATTGGGGCTGATGTGTACTGTGGTCGTTGCTGCCACCCAGGAGTGATGGGAGTGAGCGCAGGACCTGTTCTTTTGTATTTGTATCCAAAAACACTATACATTTTTTGTAGTGTGTTTGGTGCAAAGAGACTGTCCTTGCAGTCTATCATTTGTAAATACTGGCAGTGTTTACATTTGTCCCTAACGACACCTCTTGTGGCTGTCTTTGCAGGACCAACATTTGAGATTGTCACTCTCTGTATGAACACTGAGTGCCATTGGATACCGCAGTTATGTGAGGAGATACTGATTGGTGGAGTGCAGCCATTGCTGCGCATGCACAGTAGGACTCCAGTGTTTCTCTTTGGAGACACATTGGATAGACCAATATCATTCATAATGATGCTCTCAGCCAGGGGCGCAGCACTGGAATGCAGAAGAAAAGTCTAGTGTTAGAGATACATGTTTGTACTTCTAATAATAGAGTGCTCTTATAACAACAGTATATTGAGTATTAAAATTGGTTTCCAGAGTATATTGTTCACAAAAAAATCACAATGTACTTTTAATGGTTTTGCATTTTAAGATTTATTCTTTAAAAATGGAACTGCTATTTCTGGGTGAGGGGTCAATAGTGCGTACGCAATTAGCATTGCTCTGAGCCAAGCTGTGCAATCTTGGTCTTAAATCGTCCACCTGTGCCCCTCTCAACAGCACTTAACTGATCTGCTGACACTGACTCCTTTCCTCTGCCCGGTCATAACTAGGCACAAGTATACATTCAATACCAGAGGTCCTCCCCGGAGGTTCCAGACTCAGATGCCACCATTTGGGTTCCTGCCATTTTGGCCATTCAGCCACACTCTGCATCTCCCCACAGGTGCACTCCCAGGCACCCGATTGATCATCACCAGCTACAGCTGACAGCAGCAGCACCACTGACTGAAGGTAGGCCTGGAATCCTAAATTTTATCTGCACATTATCACCATGTGGCTTTCAAATCCACTGTGCCACTATATCTACCATTTTGCCCAGCACCCTCTCTGAAAGAAATTCAAACATCATCTACTTGTGCTGCAATCCTCCCTGGGCCCACAGTCCTACAAATAGATATTTTTTTTGTATATACTTTCATTAATTTTTTTCTCAGTTCACTTTTGTTTCTTTCTTTTCTAACCACTGTAAACACCTTGAGATACCTCTAAACTTTACTCTTTGGCCAGTTGCCCATCTACCATATAGTATTTCCCCAGGATCCTTATTTGAATTGTATGCTGTCTCATGGCCTTGCTATTAATATTGCAACTGCTCCTTGGTAACAACAGTGTTTCCTAAGTCCAAGAACTGTAAATATTTTCATTTTATTTTCAAGTTACAGATTTCAACCTAGCCTGAAGCCACTTGTAGCTACATTGAAAGTCCTCTTTCTTGGTACTACTTCAGCAGCTATCCTCCCATACTAAGAGAACCTTCACACTTATCTCATTACCCAGGTACTAGTGGTCCCATGGCTTGGTAGCTATTGCATCTACATCAGTAATTTATGTTTATCAGGGGATTGCCTATGCTTGTTTTCCACTACTTCCCCTGCAATGGAGAAGTTTGTCCAGTCCAAAAAATCCCCTACCAAGACCCATAACAAACATTCCAATTCCCTTGCAAAATCAGTGGAAACTCCTCAATATGAGGCCTCATTGGCTCCATCGAGCCCTGCCACTTCTGAAACTCTCGTTACACCAGTTCCTTTAAATCACAATACATCTTCTCTGGCAGGGGATATAGCTGCCCTTTTTTTGCCTAAGCTGGAGGCAATTTTTTATGTTGTACACCACACTATTGGGGATCTTGTCAGTAAGGTGATGACTAACTCTACTAGGCTTTACGGTGTCAAAAACAGACATAGTGACCTGGAAGATTCTTCTACTCATCTTCATGCCGAACTTCAAAAACAATCCGAACTCATCTCACAACTTCAAGCTAAAGTGGAAAGCACATTGCCACTTCCGATAGAAAGTGCGCATTGCCTGGATCCTGAAAAAAGCTCACGTTGGGAATTTACTCAACCAGGATCTGCCTTTTAAACTACGCGATTAAGAGGCTAGTCTTCATGCATTTTAGTGAATAAAACCTAAATAGTACAAAAGGAAAGCAGAACTTCTATAGTGCAGTAATGTTTACTGAAAATAGTGCAAAGCATAATAGTATAAACATAAAGATATAAGAATGTCAAATTCAAGATAACATTTTTAAAAAATAGCTTAAAGGGACACTATAGTCACCAGAACAACTAAAGCTTATTGCATTTGTTCTGGTGAGTAGAATCATTCCCTTCAGGCTTTTTGCAGTAAACACTGAAAATTCAGTATTTACATTACAGTCTAGTGATAACTAGATGGTTGCTAGAGCTGCTTCCTTGGGCAGTCCTGCCTAGTATGCAACTCAACATTCAGTGTCTCCACCGTCTGCATGCAGACACTGAACTTTCCTCATAGAGATCATTGATTCAATTCATCTCTATGAGGAGATGCTGATTGGCCAGGGCTGTGTTTGACTTGCACTTGGTCTGCCCCAGATCAGCCAGTCCTATGGGAAAGCATTGTGATTGGCTCAGACCACCACTTCTGATGATGTCAGAGATCAGATGCAGTTCAGAGGCAGAGACAGCAGCTCCAGACTTGAATACAAGTAAGATTTTGCTTTATTTAGGTAAGAGGGAGCCAGGGGGCTAGATGATGGTTTTAACACTATAGGATCCTTTAAAAGCAACACAAAGGGGGATATCCCCCCAATGTTGTGTACTCACAGAGAGCAAATTATCAAGGATGTAGTAAAATGTAACTTCTCATAAAGTACTCCATGCATATTAAATAGGCTGGTAGATGCAGTACTCTTCAGCTGCACGTCTCGCCGCAGAGTGGATCCCGGTATGGAGTCTCACAGGGGTCTGAAGAGATCAGACTCGGTGATCATTATGCTCCTATGCGTTTCGTGAGTTTGTAGTCACTTCTTCAGATAGCATGAACAATCACTGATGTAGGAGTCTTTATATAATAATATCTGTAATCGGAGTGTGTTAAGTTCCTTAACCCCTTAAGGACACATGACATGTGGGACATGTCATGATTCCCTTTTATTCCAGAAGTTTGGTCCTTAAGGGGTTAAAGGGATATGGCATGCTGTAATGATGGTCTGCAAATATAGAGCTTCAAAAAAGGAGCACTAAATGGAATATTTTCTAATAAAGTGTGAAATGTAAACCTATATCTTTTTAAACACATAGTGACAGAACCTATCTATTATTACATTCACACATATAACGGAATAAAAATCATTCAAGAGAATAAGAAATATTCTGCATGTAATGTAAAAGAATTACAGCTGCTAAAAAATGACATAAGGAAATTAAACGTAAGAAGATAAGGAGATGTTTATCAATGGATCACTTAATATGTCTCAGTTGTTTCATGGCTGCTCCAGTCATCTTCTAAAGACTCCCTGCCAATCTTGTTCTTAAAGTTGTGGTTTTTTTTTCTCCATGTTGTTTATTTTTATGTTCTCTCCCACTGTTAATCTTACCAACATACTTCACAGCTTTTTGGCTATCCTTTGGTTTTTAGTTAACTAGAATTCTTTGTTTATTCCAAATTTTTGTCTGTTAAACAAAATTAAGACAGACTTCAATACAGTGACACACTTTTTAAATGTTTCTTTTTTTAACGCAAAATGTTATTTCCAAACTTCTAGTGCTATATTTTTATTCTACAACAACACTGCAGCTATCTTGCAGAGTAAATATATGTTCTGACATTTAAAAGTCGTTTTTCCAGAAATATAAATCATCAGGAACCCACAAAAGAGAAACTGAGAAATTATCTATAAAACAAAGATCACAACGATCTACTTCTGAAGGCTCGACAGGAGGTAAGCTATGTAGCATCAGCATACAAAATATATATTTATATCAGTCAATGATTGTTGTGATTAGTAAGTGTGGAAAATCAATTCATAGCTAGAACATGTTGTTTAACTGCTTAAGGACCGAACTTCTGGAATAAAGGGGAATCATGACATGTCACACATGTCATGTGTCCTTAAGGGGTTAAGGAAACTTTCCAATCACCATGCAGTTAAACATAGAACACCACACCCTAGTGCTGAAGTCCAACTAAGTAACATAGCCGTCAGTTTAAGATTTTTAAAATGATTTACATTTTTGGATACTTTAAAAAAAAAATATTTTTCAATATAATAAAATATTTATATATATAATTTTTTTAAAAGTTTACAAAAAAAAAGAAATAATTTTTAAAGCTTATCCAAAAATATAAAATCAAGGCCATAATAGCCACTTCAAATATGTATATATTACCATTAAATTGGGTAATTGTAACAACCCCTGGATGTTGGGCTAAGGTAACATCCCCAGGACGTACTTGAAAACCAGAGTAATCTGAATGTACCTTTCCTGATTAAATACTTTGTTATTAATATATATATATCTATAGAGTTGGTTAAATGACATTCTACTTTAAAAATGTGACACTAGGCTTTTAAGACCTAAGACAAGAATAATATTCTTTCAGTTGAAGGACATTCCACAAAAATGGAGCAAAACAGTATTGAATGTGAGAATTGTGAGTGAGAATGCAACTAGAGGACACACATAGGTTATTGGCTGGGCATATTGGACATCATGGGCTGTACATGCTAATTAGTAAGAATTCCCCAGCTGAACACAGTCAATGAGCATTAAAATGCCAACTGTTAGTGATGTAAAAGATGAGCCTGGGAGCATGCCTTATGGACTCCAAGAGGATGATCTGTACATGAAGATGTCGATTGCAGCAGACAAAAGGTGATCATTTTATTAGTATCTACCCTAATAATGAGATGAACATGCACTTAGTGTAAGGTGAAAGCAGCCATATTTAGTCATTTATACTAGATCCATCAGCTATAGAGAGGACATAGTAAAAAATGCCAAGGCAATCAGTTCATGGAAGCAATTTACACGGAGAGACTGACAATAGGACATCTACTGTTTTCTTGATGGATTCAAAACAAGAAAATCCTGAGTTCCGGGAAGCATGTAGTAGTCTCTTAAATACTACAGTTTAGTGATACATTGTTACCATAATGTTCTCAAAGAGACAACTGCATTAGAAAGAAGAAATTGTGTACTAAATATTGTATAGCTGAGACCTTTCTGCTCTATTTAATAAAAATGAAATTGCTTTTAAGTAGTATTTACAGTGAGGTCAGCATGTTGATAGCGGACCCTTATAGCAATTGTATCCGTATAGAAATATAGTTGGTTGAACTTTAACCTACACAGCATTTAACAAATCTCGGTTTTATGAAACTTGTTTAGAGTATGCATATATCTATTTTGATATAGATCAATGTATAGGTTGTTAATTGACACAAAAATATTTTAGAACTATTTAATATGCAATTAAATTTAAAACAAATATTTGAAATGATTTATGAATAAAAGCGTTTAATATATCAATATATATGTTTGTATTTATAGCATTTCAATCCTTCCTGCAACTCATCGCTGATAGAAAAAGTATAATTGAAGATGAAGGTAATTTAAGAAAATATGGTTTTCAAGAAGGTTATGCGATAATCTTTTCTGCACTAAATATATTAGACTATTTTAATTAACTTCTTCACTAGCAACAACATTTATACATGGGTATGATTTTGCTTTGTGCAGCATTCTTAAAAATACATATTTTTTTCCTCTTTTACATTTGTGCGTACCATATATTATAAAACTGATACTTGTCTCTCTACAACATTTTTTTATACTCCTTGGCGAACCACACTTATGTTGTGTTCAGATTTTACTTGTTCATATGGTTTAGGCTTGCAGTACTTCACATCAATTGCTATTTGTCACCATATTGTTTGTCATAAAAAGAAGGAAGAGCTCAGTTAATGCTTACATTTTACAAGTTAGCATTTCTACTCAGTTTTGAAATTACTGTTTTCATGTCACTCATGAAAAGAACTGAGCCTCTAATATCTTCCAGTGAAAGCATAGTAGTTGTTGTATTTAGAGTGTCCCTTTCAATTGTACATAAAATATAAAAAATAACTAAATAATTAACTAACTGACAAAAAACAAAACAGTTGTCCACAGCATTGCTTCATGAGACAATTTTGTCTTTTCTATTTTATTTATTTATAAAATATTTTACCACTAAGGATACATTGAGATTTCTCTCTGTTTCAAGTATGCCCTGGTTCCAAACACTGCATTGTCACAATAGGGTACAATATAATATTAAATATAGTAAATAATATTAATACACAAAACATATATAAATTTAACACAGAACAGGTATGAAATATAATCATTACAGGTGCATTCTGTATTGAGATATGTTGAATTTTAGACTGGAGGAAGATTTAATTGTGCTTTATAGGAAAATGAGGATCAAGCCACTTTATTTTTGTATTGTGTTCTACTAAATAAAGTGTTGGTCCTGGATCGGAGGTTATAGGAGGTGGGAATGAGGAGGACATTCTGCTCAGCTAGGTTGGGAGCTTCCCAGGAAAGCTCTTAAACACAAGGCTGGAAAGATGAGGGGTGCGTCTGGATTCCAGCAATAGCTAGTTTAGTTCTTTTAATACATCACAATGGTGGGTCATGTAATTACATTGTGGCACAAAGCAGCAGAATGAGTTATACAATGTATTTAGTCTATGAAAGTGGGCTTGCGATGCAGGTGCATACACTACATCCTCTTGTCAGTGACTGGCATTAGCATTTGCTGAACAATCTGTTTCCTAACTATGGGTCCTAGGCAGGATTTGAACTTCAAGCTAAAAGAGTATGTGAAATCAGCAAATTGATATTTAAAGGAGCACACTAGACCCCTGAAACACTTCAGCTTGCCCTTCAGCCTTCAGCCTGTTACTTCCTGGGAGCTATACTGAAGAGACAGACAAGTGCTTTGCAAAGAATTCTCATTGAGTTGCTTTGGGGGTCTGTGATTGAACAGCTACAGAACGTCTTTAGATAAGAGACCTGCAGTTTTTGTGAGCTGTTGTTAGCTATACCCCAATGGGAAAAAAAAAAGCTTAATAAATTGCATGCATGTTTTCATAGGGGATATCTACTTGTTTGTTTGAGCAGCAGAGTGTCCCTTTAAAATCTTCTTCATAGAGTTAAAACATTATTTTCACAAAATTAGCTTTTTTGGTAACAAGACAATGTTCTTCTCTCTTTTATTCTAGATGATTTAAGTATCATACCATGGCTTCTTAGTTTTAAACAAGGCACATCCTTGGAAAAGAAGAAAAATGTAATATTAATCAAGGAAGCTGGTTTCTTTTTCATATATGGGCAGGTAAGAAATATGTTCCCTAGATATATTTTGCATGGAAAATGGTGTATGTAAATGGTCTTGCAAAAGTCAATGAAAGTAGTCGTTTTTAACTACATAGCTTATAGTGAATTCAAAGTAGCTAACTTTAATTGTTATTGCATAGTGTAGACACATTCAAAGTAACATCATGGTTACATAAACTAACGCCATGGCTATATAGATTCTTGATTCTAGCGGCAATGAAATGCCTGCATGAGGAAATGCATTTGTGGCGGACCGCCTGGCACCCCGACTGGGTGACTCCTCCAATCGATGCTTCCAAGTGATCACCGAGTATTCCGAGCACTCCACCAGACACCATAACCACCATAAACCCCACAGCCAGCGTTACAATCTGGTTGGGGACTCGCTGTCTTTCACCCACCCTGGGCCTAAGACCAGGATCCAGCTTCCAGTGGGTAGACCTCTCCTAATCCAGAGAGTAAAACAGGCAACACTGTTGTAATTCAAGGGAGTATCAGAGTATAGCAATTCCCAGAGTGAATACAGCTCTCCCCTCCACACATGAGACAAGGCTCTATGTTGAGGGTGAAGAGGAACTTGTTAAATGGCAGCCACAACTGGCTTTGTATGCAGGTCCCCATGCAAGGGGTTTTCCATAATATATTCCAGGAGCATTCCCCAGTGGACCTGAGAGGGGACTATGACAAGGTGCACACTTTAATTATATTGACTCTCAGGTCCAGGACACTCCCATACAAAACAGGGTAATCCCTCCCCTGTGCCTGAGAGATAATTGAGTCAGGAACTGTACCAAAATCAATTATCTCCAGGCACAGAAAACATACATTTTAACAGTATCCCGAAAGTACCTCCAAAACACATGGAAACCCCACAATAGTCACATCCCCTGATACCCCTGATCTGGGTGACCAATATATCCAAAAATCACCCAGATCGGTTCAGGGGTTCAGGTTTTCCATGGAAGTCATAATTTAACCGACCACACAAAAGACTCCGGCCCAAAAGAGTTCCATGAAATTGGGCTGTGCGGTTGGTCACATTCGGGAGCACGAAGTACAATAAAAGCAGGAATGCAACTGGTTCGGATGTACACTTAGACTGTGTCCCTTGTTCCGGAGTGTGTTCCCACCGAATGCCGCTCTTCTCAGACGAATATAACCGAACTTAACTGGAGGTGGAAGTCCCAGTGGTGTTCATGCCGTCGAGTGCCCGATTATTGTTCCATACACTTGACGACCAAACACCGTTGTTCGAGTTTGCGGCTAAAGATAGCTGCCACGTGTTTGTTCATATGAACGACGACCACCCATCCGACCGTATTTGAAGGTTGCGGTTTCGAAGTGTTAGTGAGGTCAAAAGGGTCAGTTGGCAGCACACGACTGTAATTGACAATAAATCTGCCCACTGGATTGAACTTGAGTGCCTGGACCATCATTACTTTTTTGCAAATATTTAATAATATTTGTATGTTCTATGGCAATATTTGCTTTTGTAAACCATTGCATTGTGTCCCATGGTAAATCACGGATTTGTTTAGTGAACAATTATTCTAATTTAATTTGCACAGTCTACATAGTCTAGAACAGGGGTGTCCAACAGGTAAATCCCCAGATGTTTTAAATCTACACCTTCCATGATGCTTTGTCATCATAAAGGCATGCAAAACATCATGGGAATTATAGTTCTACAACATCTATTGGGCATCCCTGGTCTAGAAGATTTGGATAGTGCTTTGGTAACCACGACCAAGAAAGGTCACTTGTTAGAGAAGTTAAGTTCACAAGTTACTCCAGCTTATGCCAAGCAGATATTATGCAAAAAAAATGGGTGATGAAAATTGTGTCATATTTTAAGATTCTTTAAACAGCTAAATTGCAAAATTTACAAGTTTAATCCCTTTATAAATTTGTCCAACAAGGCTTTTTGTTTAACCTACATTTTACAGCATAGTTGTGAACTTACCATTGTTTTCTGATTAAACATTCCTTGTACATATTCTGTTAACATATTTCCATTAAAGGGACACTGTAGTCACTATAAACATTTCATCTCTTTGAATTGGTTACAGTGCCTGGAGTACCCTGGCACTGTCCCTCCATTCAGTGTTGCACCATATTTGTGCAGTATGCCACAAAATAAGAGTCCCTGGCCACCCACAATCCGGCCCCTTCTGTACGTGTAGCTAAGGCAGAGATTACACACTTCCTTGTTGTCATACCCATTCATACCGTCAGTTGGAGATCTGACAGGCTAAAAGCAGTCAGCTGACACTCTCAGCCAATCACAGCTGCCCATTGCTGCTCAAGATAATACTTCCTTATTAGCCAAAGCAGCACTGAGGGGATGGACTGCCGAGGACTCTTGTTTAGCATTAAAACCTTAAAACATTAAAAACTGTTTAATATTAAAAGAAATGGTGTTACCAGGGGACTCCTGACACTATAACCAGTTTAATAAAATGAAGCAGATACAGTGCCTACGGTGTCCCAGAACCCAGAGTGTTTTGTTTTGATGCAATTTGACCATCATCTGGAATGTGAAGTTACAATGATTGCAAATACCACACTTAGATTTACTAAATATGATATATTTGTTTTTAAATATCAATTTTCTCTAAAAATGTTTATGTTTTCCAGGTTTGGTATTTTGATAAATTGTTTGCCATGGGTCATCTAATCCAAAGGAAAAAGGCTAACAGAGTTGGGAATGATCCCAATTTGATTACATTGTTTAGGTGTATCCAAAATATGCCAGAGTCCTTGCCAAATAATTCATGTTTTACTGCTGGTAAGAATACATATAACAATTTCCTCAAATTCCTAAAGGAACACCCCAGGCACCATAACTACTTCATCCATATTCAATTGTTATGGTGCCAGGAAGACCGCAGACGCACTCTTACCTGAAGGGGTTAAACAATTTGAGATTTTAACCCCTTGAGGTAAGAATGACTCCGGGGGCCTCCTGGCACCATAACAAGTTCATTTAGTTGAAGTTGTTATGGTGCCCAAAAACAATAATGTGTAAGACAAAAATTAACAAACATTCTTTGATGCCAAAATTAGATAAAATACAAACAACCATCACACCAAAACAAGCTAATCTATTTAAGTAGATATTAGCTCTTTAACAACACAGTTCCAAGTTTTGCTATGCACAAAAAAAGTATCCTTGTGTTGTCTTGTTATACCATTCATGAATACATATCTCAGTATTTATTATCATTAAAATATAGAAAAAGTAAAAAAATCACAGTTTTGTTATGATTTTCTTTATTATAATTTGTACAAAGCTAGAGGAGCTATAGAACAACGTCTTAGAATAACTACATTTTATTTGTCACAATTTAGATGTCTAGGATGTTCATCTGTATGTGGCACGGGAGTGCTTAAATGCTAGAACTTTTCAAACTTTTATATGCATGGCCTGTAATTTTAGTAGCAGTAAATGAAACCAAAAGTGCAATACACAAGAAGTATATATTTTGGAATAGTAGACACCAAACAGGATTTATCACTTGGCATTTTGACATTTGTAATACATCAATTTAATAATCTGTTAAATCATCTTGTAGTATGTTATGTTTTTATGTTCTCACACATATTTCACAAACCCTGAGTACAGCAATATCTTCCATGTACACGTTTGGGTTTAACTTAAAAAAGCAGTTTGGATGTATAGATCACATGTACCTGTCTCTTGCTCTCTCCTAAAGGGCAGCACTCTACTCTTTCCTATAGCTCTGCTTTACTCCCACCTTATTTGATTGCTATTTCCTTATGTCCTTATGTGTTTTATACCCCACATCTTATAGACTGTAAGCTCGTTTGAGCAGGGTCCTCTTCAACCTATCGTTCCTCTAAGATTTACTGTAATTGTCCTATTTATAGATTAATTCCCCCCTCTTATAATATTGTAAAGCTCTATGGAATCTGTTGGCACTATATAAATGGCAGTAATAATATTAAGAATAAGTCACATGCAGGAAGGTATGACTACAGCTGTATAAAAAAAGTGATTTAACTCCTAAATGGCATAATTGAGCAATGTGACTGCTGCGATCTATACACCAAAACTGCTGGCTAAAGTTGTTTTGGTACCTAAAGCCTAAACCCTGGTGGTAATAACCCTAACCCCTCACAACCCTAATTCTAACACTATTCAACCCTAACATAACCCTAGACCTATACCATTTCCAACCCCGCAACAACCATATTCCAAACCATAACCAAACACCAACTGTACACCAACACTAATCCTACATTAACCCTAATCCAACCTAGCTCAAGGGTCAGCAGTCGATGGCACTGCAGATGTTGTGGACTACATTCCCAATAATGCTGTTTCAGCCATAATGCTAGCAAGGCATCATGGGAGATGTAGTCCACAACATCTAGAATGCAGAAGATTGCTCTATACTAAACCTAACCTTACACCATTCTAACACAATCCTAAACTTTACACTAAGCCTTACACTGCATCAATCCTAATCTTACATTATTTCTAACATCACTGAGCCAAACCCTAACCTATCACCTATCCTAAACCTACACCACCCATACCCAATCCTAACCCTAAACCAATCCTAATCTCAACCCTTCACAAACTTTATGCCTGATGTCAGCTGAGGGGTTTCCCCTAGTTACACAGTACAAACAGCTCTCCCTCTCTGATTATAACAAATAGGAATGATGTTATTTTTTGCCCTTAATATCAGATCAGAACACAGTGATCTGCACTAAGCAGGGAGTCTTGATAGGGGTCTTTTGAGACCCAGTAGGTCTCCCATTCCTCAAGGGAATCTACTGGTGATGTAATTTAACTACATTCAACCACCATGATTTTAAAGACTGCGTGCAGCACTCAATTTTTATGCTAAATCCAGCTATTCACTCACTATATAGCCAATAAATCTAGCCAAAGCTGACAGAGGGGTCAGCATCAAGTAATATATGTATGACACGCTGGAAAATTACAGTTAATTCTGTGTATAAACTGTACATTATCCAAAAACAAAGCATACTGTGTCATTTATTAAAATTGTATTTAAGGATTAAAGGACAACTGTCAACTCAAATCTATTTTTAATATAATAGTCATGTCCTCAAGTTTAGAAAGGAAATAGATTTTTTGAGCTATATACATGCACCTTTGGTCAGACAGTATTTAAAAAATGACAGTCTCTATAGTCTTCCCTGCTTTACTACCTGCAAATAAGCACAGAACACCATCAAGATTAACAGTTTTATTTTTTCAAATTCCATCTGACCCAAGGTGTATGTATATGGCTGAAGTAGGGGTGAGTTTTTTAAATTTTTTACGTATACTCTATTTAAAAACAAATGTATTTCTATTCAAAACTTGCCAGCATGATTATTATCATAAAACATAGTTCCGGGGCATCAATTGTCCTTTAATTATGGAACTTCTGAGGACAATTGGTTACACTATAACACATTTACTAGGGTCACAGTAAGATTTTACATTTTATGGAATTTAGACTTCTTAGATTTTTGATCTGAACAGTATGTAACTCAACCCAAAATACATACAAACAACATATTAATTTGAAATTACAGATTCTCCAAACACAATTATGATCCCAGCTATAACTAGCTAAAATAAAAAAAAAAATTGCCTACGTTTTCACAATCTGGAAAAATATTGTTAATAAATAAATTGCATTGTGTTAATAGCTAAAATGAAATTAGTGCATCGGATATTCACTGTGATACTAATCATTTACCTTTATTCTCTAATGTATAGATTTTGGTAAAATAATATTTTGTGAAAAATGGTATTTCAAAAGTCAATTCCCATGGCAATGGAAAATATGCGTGTGCTTCAACAAGACTAAATGAGCCAGCTTCTGTGAATGTGTTTATAACAGATTTTATTATAGCTTTATCATGGTTCATGCTCAACTCATTTCGAGTTTAACTATCAATGTCATGTTTCTGGGTTACAGGAATCGCAAAATTGGAAGAAGGTGATGAACTCCAACTCATTATACCACGGAGGAAAGCAAATATCTCATTAAGTGGAGATGGGACCTTTTTTGGAGCAATACGGCTTTTGTGACATTCAAGTATCACACATAAATCTCATTGTTTGTCTTTTTCATTTTCCCAAATTAATGTGCAGCAAAATGCATTTGATATATTTCTAGTCAAGTAAACTATAATTAAAATAGGAATAAGCTAGCATAGTAATAATTATTGAAAATGTATTTTGCGAAATCTGGTAACAATATAAATAATATAAGCCTAATTATGATATACATTGTTGCATAATATGTGTTGTGGTTATGCCATTTCTTTGTCTGATTGATTTTTTAATCAGGCAGTAAAACACTCTGTTGTTTTGCTATTTAACGGTGGCAGTATGGTTTTTATTCCCCTTATTTGATAGCCTTGAAGCAAGCATGTTAAACTGAAAGGCTAACACGAGCCAAATAAACAAGGTTTAAGTTTATGTGAGCCGCAAAAAAGCAAAAACTTCAGTTTTCATAAAAATATAGGTTTATTTTGAAAAGTACAGCTTAACCCCTTAAGGACTGGACTGTTTTTACGATGTTGTACATTTGCGACCAGGCATATTTTTACACTTTTGTGGTGTTTGTGTTTGGCTTTTTTTTTTTTCGCTTTCTCATTTACTGTTCCCATACAAATTATATATTGTTTTTTTCAGGACAAAAGGGGCTTTCTTTACATACCATTATTTATATAATCTCATGTATTTTAATTTAAAAAAAATAAAAAAAATATGATGAAAAATTGAAAAAAATACATGTTTTTTGACTTTTACTTGAAAAATCTTTTACTCATCTACAAAAGCGAATGAGAAAAACTGCTAAATAGATTCAAAATTTTGTCCTGAGTTTAAAAAATACCCAGTGTTTACGTGCTTTTTTGCTTTTTTTTGCATGTTATAGGGCTATAGGTACAAGTAGGATATTGCCGTTTCAAAACATACATTTTTAAAATTTATCAATAGTGACATTGTAACACTATTATCTGTCATAAATCTCTGAATAACACCTACATGCGTTATTTTTAAAGTAGATAAACCCCAGGGAGAGTCAGGCAGTTCAGTCTTAGTAGCCACTTAGTCACAAACACTGGCCAAAGTTAGCGTTCATATTTGTTTTTGTGTGAAAAAAGCAAAAACTAATATTTGGCCAGTGTTTGTGACTAAGTGGCTACTAAGAAAGACTGGACATACCCCACTTGCAATACCTTGGGTTGTCTACTTTTGCAAATGGTATGCCATCATGGGGGTAATTCTCATTCCTGGGCTACCATACGCTCAAAGGCAACGAACTAACCTTGGGCCATTTCTACCTAAAATATTTGACCCATATATTTGACCTTGTAACTTTCTTTGTGTCAAATATAAAACTCAGGGATACTGTTTTACTGAGATGACAAGAACACAAATATTAGTGTTTAAAAACTGAAAGGTATCAACAAATTATATCATCAGTAAAAGTGCTGTTTGTATGTGAAAAAATGCAAAAGTCACTTTCACTGACAATATCATCGCTGTGATATGTTTTTTACTGTTTTGAATCACTAATATTTGTGTTCAGCGAAGTCTCCCGAGCAAAACAGTACCCCCCATGTACAGGTTTTAGGGTGTCGTAGAACGTTACAGGGTAAAATACAGTGCTAGCAAATTCAATTCTCTGGAATTTCGGCCTGGGTTGGCAGGCAGGTCCCTTAAATTGCAATCAATAAAAATTACTGAATTATGTAAAACTATTACATAAATACGCACGTAGAATTTAAATATATATGCATATTTATATATCTGAAGTCTACGTGTATATTTATATAATTATTTATGTAATTTTGTATATGGACATATGTATATTTCTTATTATTTTTATTTATTTTTATATACATAGATATATATACAAATTCATTCTAAGTGTATTTTGATATAAATATATATATATTAATTTTAAAATACAGTTAGAATAAAATTTCATATAGCTATATAATTTTTTTTAAATTTTTTATTATTATTTAAAAAATATTTAATTTAAATTACTTATTATTTATATTTTATAATAATATATATATACAATATATATAGTTATTATATATATTATATATATACGTGTGTAATTTAATTATAAGTGTATTTTTATATTAATATAAGTACATATTAATATAAAAATACACTTAGTATGGCATTATATATATGATATATAGACATATATTATATAGATATAATATATGTCTATATATCATATTTATACATATAATTATTTTTTTTACACTAGCAGGGAGACTGCCTGTCAGCACAGACAGTCCCCCTGCAGGCAGACACATGGACACCTATTGTGACCATGTGATCGCTGTGTTAAGCGATCACATGGCCACAGGGGTCCTAATTCAGTGTGGGGAGACTGTCTGGGCTGCAGGCAGTCTCCCCACAACTGGAGCAACGCTGATCGCCGCCGGGGGAACGACGGCGATCAGGTAATGTAACTCAGACCGTTAGGACGGTTCAGGACCGTCATCGGTCAGCAACGCAAAAATGCCGATGATGGTCCTGAACCGTCCTCGGTTGTGAAGGGGATAAACAAGTTGCCTAACTGACACTGGACGTCCTCACATTCATAGGGCTTCAAAGTAAACCATAAAGCAAATTTATTTTAAGAGACGTGCATTTGCATATAACCAATGTTTCATTCCAACTACCTTGACATATTAAAGGGACACTATAGTCACCAGAACAACTACAGTTTAATGTACTTGTTCTGGTGAGTATAATCATTGCCTGCAGGCATTTTCATGCAAACACTGCATTTCTGAGAAAAGGCAGTGTTTACATTGACCCTAGGGACACCTCCAAGTGGCCACTCCTCAGATGGCCACTGGAAGTGCTTCCTGGCTCAGTGCTGCACAGTAGGCAGCACTGCCGTTCAGTGTCTCCACGCTCTGCGTGGGGACGCTGAATTTTCCTCATAGAGATGCATTGATTCAATGCATCTCTATTAGGAGGTGCTGTTTGGCCCCACCCCTTGCAGATTTCAGCCAATCCAATTGGGTTTAGCACTACAGGGTTGTGTTCCTGATCCTATAGTGTTCCTTTAAGAAAAGTTTTGTAATGGGACTGAAATGGTGAGTGTATGCTGTTGCACAGCTGTAAAAAAATAAATTACGTTATTTTGCTGATTTTGAAGTCCTTTGAGTGTGTTCTTCACTTTGGCTGAGATCAAACTTAATGATCTCAGCCAATCCAATGCTTTCACCCTCACACACAGCACCCACACACACAAATCACACACAGCACTCTCACACACAGCATCCTCACACACAGCACCCACACACACAAATCACACACAGCACTCTCACACACCACACACACAGCACCCTCACACACAAATCACACACAGCACTCTCACACAGCACCCTCACACACATCACCCTCACAAATCACACAGCACCCTCACACACAAATCACACACACAGCACCCTCACAAATCACACACAGCACCCTTACACACACATCACACACACTGCACCCTTAAACACAGCACCCTCACACACAAATCACACACACAGCACCCTTAAACACAGCACCCTCACACACATACACAGCATCCTCACACGCCTCAAACACAGCATCCATCACACACACATACTGCACCCTTCACATACACACTACACCACTCACAGACACCCACTGCTCCCCTCACACATACACACAGAACCCCAACACACACACACACACACAATACTTCCAAACATATTTATTTTATATATATATATATATATATATATATATATATATATATGGAAGGCAGGGCCTGAAGTTGTGGGAGGGGCTTGGTTCCCTTTCTTAAGGAGCACCAGCCCTTCCCTCATTACCTGTTAGGTCTGGTGAGTTGCGTGGTCGTCACTTCCGGTCCGCCCTGACTCCATTCTACTTACCTACAGCTCGTGGGCAGCCTCCAGGGTCCCAAGGAGTCCTGTTCCTCCGGTTCTAAGTGGAAGGCAGGCAAGGGGTTTCGCAGGGCTCTCGCGGCGGCACCAGGTCGCAAAATCGCATAGGCATCCTCGATCATTTGGAGTATTTGATTCCAGTCTCTATTGTTGGAATATTTCGGTAGGTATCTGGTTTTGCAGCGGGGGTGATGGGTACATATTGATAACCTTGGAAACTCACTATTATTCTCATAGGTTACTACAGATCGCCTGTATCACCTCACCCTACTACCTGACTATTTGCTCATAAGGTACGTCATGTAGCTCTCGACAATATCTCCCACCCTACCTACCCCTTTTCGGGTAATGAACTAGATATACTGGCTTACATCATAGGGGCCCCAGGTATGTTTTTCTTGGCACTCTTCGCCTTATGGTAGTGGTCCCGCGAGGCCAACACCCATCCTCATTTCGGAGGTACGGCATCCCCTCGGGCCAACTCATAGCTAGCCGCCTCGCTCGGTTGCATAGAGAGGGCCTCACCTGTCACTCCCATTCTGTCTTATGCTTTTACTAGTCACAGAGAGGCCATCACCCTGCCATAATGCCAATGGCCACGTACCCCACACGAGCCAAATCATAGATAGTGCCTCTCAAAGCCGCTTGGCAACTAGTAGGGCCTCACCAGTCACGCTCTAAGTAATTGTTTCGCCGCTTGGCATTAGTTACACCAGCCAGTACAGTAGGTCCCCAGATAACATATTATTTTTATGTTGTAGCATGTCACAAATACCCGAAGGCGGGGAAGATTTGTCCATTCCCAGCACGCCAGCTAGATCAGTCACTCCATCCCGGGGGGACGACAACACGAGCCCTGCATCGCTAAGGGCATGGACCATACCCCGGATCACCGCCGAACTACGAAAGAGGAACATTCCTTTCCCAGCCACCGCTAGGAAAGCAGAATTGTACAGGCTGTTAAACACACAGACTGATAACTCAGGGGCGGGGGAAGGGTCCAGTGGCAGCCAGTCTTCCGATCTGCATACTGTTTTGTCCTCAGTCCTCAACTCGTTGGGCCGTATTACTGATAAACTTGACAAGTTGGATGCAGATAGCCAGCAGCGGTCAGCTTCTGCCTTAGGTACCCCGATTGCTACAACGCACCTGGATCCCCTACCGGGTAATATACCAAGCAGTCTTAAGAATCCGCTTATCATTAATCCAGCACACATGGTGCCAGCAAACACTAAGAAAGAAATCTTGGAAGGGAAGGATATCAATCTGGTATCTCTTCTTATAGCTTCACAAGATATCCTTGAAAATAGAACCTACGCATATGGGGATGTGTCGGTGGTTTTGAAGTCTAGGGATCCTAGGTTGAATCGGAAGCTATCCATCCCCGAATTTGTCTTAGCTTTCGGGATATACAGGGATGTGATTTGCTCAGTGTATCCGGCGAGGAGAGAAGAGTTGGACCTTTATCTCCACAAGCTGGTGGACTTGGGGCACAAGTACGGTGGTACGTCCTTTTACGACTACCACCGTGCTTTTTCCGCAAAGGCGTCGGCCGCTCTCACTCAGTTTAATCATCTAACTGATTGGGGCGTGCTTGATACAGAGCTTTTTTGTCGGCACTTTGCGGGCCTCAAAGCCCCAGCTTGTGCCATTTGCTCGTCCAACTCCCACACTGCTAATCTGTGCCCTAACTCTCCCGAGATGAATGCTGTGTTTTCCCCTGCTAACATCATGCCAACTGGGAGACCGGGCAGGGG